TGTTTCATTTAATCCTCCTCAGAGTGCCATCTCTCATAGGCTTATCCTGCAGCAGTGTCCCCTACCCTGTAACATGCAAAGTGTTTATAGAGATGTTTTTTTAAAGGCCTTCTGTGGTAAAAAGAAGCCACAGCCATCTCACACTTCCTTCCCTTGGGGATCCACAATATGTTAAAGGCTCTGATAAAGTCTTTCAATACAGAAAGCTGTTTAACATAGTGGTCCCCAAACTAAAACAAGTTCCTCTGCTAAGGAACTCATCAAAGCTATTCATATATTTATCTCAAAAGAGAGACTCTAATCATCCCGATTTCAGTCATAGAACAGTTTTTAGTGGAATACTACTTAAATGTCACCAAACACCTGTGTTTTCCTGAATGCAGTTTAAATGATCTCGACCCAGATGGAATTGAATTGGTAATTTAAGTCCATGAAATCACAGGCATATTTTCTTTGTTCTTCCACAAACTGTTCTTTTGCCCCTACACTGTGGATCTCAGGTACTAACTTATCCTTTCACTCTGTCTTGTCTCCTTCCTGATTTGTAGGTATACAAGTCCCAAACATTAATGCAAATTCCACAGGGGTAAATGTCTCAGCATGTGTTTCTGATGTCACTTTCCTAACAATTTAGCATTATCAGCACTACGTTAGGCTCAGAGGAAAGGCATCAAGGCTTTCTTGGACTGAATTATAGTCCTGTTTCCTTAAAATATCATTAATCAAAAAAGTGCACAATATCCTGAGGCAGAGATGATGGCTAGGCAGAAGCTATTCTCCAAGGCCTTGGTCATTTACTGAGGGTTTACTATGAATGTTACATATAGCAGTCCCCACAGCATCCCTAAGATGCTATGAGGGGTCTGCTATGATCCTTTAGGCTGAAAAGTAAAGGGTCAGTGGGCAGGAGAATAGACTAAGGCCCAGACAGTGCTGGTCACTGAGGAGATGGATAGCAACATATTGCTCAGCTAGAGCTCTGGGCAGGGCTTGGTGCTGGGTGCCCAGAGAACTGGGAAAGGAGTCTGATTGCCCGACCATGCTTCTTCCAGATGTTGCCTTTTCCTTGCAAATTTGGCAGATGCCTGGGCTCCACACCCAAGAGGAGAAATCAGATGCCAGCTTCAAATTGTAGAGCAAGATGCAAGGCTGCCACATCCTCTCCATACCTTTCCCTGAGAAGGATAAGGAGGAACACTTGTGTAGCCTTTGGCCCCCAAGAATATGTTCTTCCAGTGGACCACATAGCTGAGCTCCCGTGGCCCCTGGCCTGCAGGGCTGTGACCAGCCCATATGCTCAATACTCAAGTAACACAGGTCTGCAGCCAGGCATACTCAAGCTCCTGGAAAACCTGGAAAATTCTTCACAGTTTCCATGAATGTGACAGAAGAGGCCAGAGGAAGTTTTGAGAGGTTGGTGTGATGTAGGCTTTAGGAGAAAAGGTCCAATGGCTATTCCAGAAGGAATAGGTATGGAGTGACCAAGACATTCTACGGGTACCTGGGGAGGCATGATAGGTTTGGACAGCTGAAAGGACAACAGGTCCAAGTGGTCAACAACAGCTCCTATCACCATGTCCAAAAGAAATGGGCAGCCCAGTCAACCTGGCAGTTAGAAAAGGATCACTAGGGACTTCTGCAATCCTTTGCTTTAACCCTGTTAGTATGTGAACACACACAATATGCAGGCTTGATAAGGACTTCACATTCAGCTCTCACTTCAGCCTCATGACAACCACCAGGAGTAGTGGTATGATATTCATTTTGCAGATGATAAAACCACAGCAGAGGTGACTTTCCCAAGACCATATGTAAAAAATGACAGTTCTGTCACTAAGGTCTACCCTCTTAACTTCCCAACTTTAGAACACAGGAAAACCCCAAGTAGCCTCCCAGGGCTGGTGACCAAGTAGATGTCAGCTCTCTGATTTAGAAGGTGGCTCTATAGCTCAGCAATCCTGTTAGTAACTCCTGAGCCACCAGGCCTCTTTCCATTCCTTTGCTGGAGCCTTCTGAAGGTAGGAGGTTGGCCTCACTATTTCCAATGCGCAGCCATGTGGCCCACTCATATCACCATGCCTGCAATTGTTTACGCTACCTGCACTGTGCAGAGAAGAAAACAATCCCTTTGTAGGGCCTTTGGGCAGCTAGACAAAAAGAGAGCTCTAGTGACAAGCATCCTCTAGAAAGTACTTTCTGATATTCACTTATAGTCCCATTTCCCATTTCATAGCACACGTAGTCCTGTCTCATCATAGCCTATTTTTAACCTGTACCTGTCACCCAACAAGAAGCTCTTTGGAGGTGGAAATTTGCCTGGTGCAATCTGTGCACCAGTGAGGACCCACTGAATGGGTGAGATGTCTCTCAGACACCTGCCTTTGTTAGGGCACAAAGTCTGGGTCACACTCTTAACTAGACTCTACACTGCTAGAGAGCCAGGCCTCCTATGTCTCCCTCTTTCTGTAGCTTCTTCAGATGCCTCAAGTATATGGTAGTGGATGACCGAGTCCCTCTCCAGCCCTCACAGGGCCAACTGGCCCCATGTCCTTCCCCTTGCCTCAGCTAATGTATCTCACAGAGAAGCTTTCCCTGGCAGCTGATCTTCAGGCCCCTGGCTTGTCTGGGTACTCCTTTGGCTTGTTTATTTGCCCACCCAAGCCCAGGTCTGTACCCACCTAGGATGGCTGGTTGTCTTTCTCCCAGACTAGGCTTTGAGCTCTATGTTCTTTCCTAGTCATTCCTGTACCTTCACACAGAGGTTAGCATAGTCCCTGGAAGACAGCAGGTGCTCAATATGAGTGGGGAATGAATAAAAAAATGTCTCTGGAAAAAAAAAATAACAAAGAACAAAGTAGAAAGAAGGCTTTCTTTCTCACTCAGGTGTCTAAAACAATGTTCACAGTGAACAGATGCCTAGACCTTCCAAATATCTATATGATCCTACATCCTGGCTTAATGGGCTAAGTGTGATCACCTTGCAAGAACTGTGAGTGTGCAACATGGTTCTAAGAGGCATTCTCACCACACATGGCCTGAGGACTTAGCTTCTCTCCTATCAGGAAACTGTCCAAGTGACCACAGGAGTGAGAGCACGGCACTTGACCACTCAGTACATTCCCTGAGGTCACTTGGGCCAGGTACTGTGTGGGGGGACAGGCACCAGGAAACAATCATGCCAATAACCTATTGCTGTGCACAGAACAAGGAAATGGCTCAGATTTAGCTAACTACAGTCCTGCTGGAAGAACTTTATAAAATTTAAAAAGTATATTCTACACATAATACTCTTTAACATGCCAGAACAAGCAATCACTTTGAGCTGTTCTTCCAGCTGCAGTGACTGGCTTCCATGACCATTCCCACTATCCTCTGTGGCCAGTACCACACACCATGATAGCTGGGACAGGGGCAAGTGTGGGTTCTTGCCTTGTGATTGGGTTTGCTCTGGGGGAGAGCACGGCCTTTGCTCTATCAAGAGAGCCGGGAGCAGTTCAGCTCTTTTGCAGTCTGGCTTCTACTCTTGAAGAAGAATCCTATCTTGCTGAATCTTTTTCTGGCTGCAAGAATCAAGGGTGCTTCCTGAAACATACAAACCTACCCAATCAGGTATCAAGCAGTAGTGGCAAAAGCATTACAAAAGGACAAGAGAATCAAGTCTTCTCAACCTTTTAAAGTCCTAGGCAAGTCCTTTTATGCTTTGAGGCCTAGTTTTCTTCTCCCTAAAAATAAGGGAAGCATCTTCCCCTTTTCAGCTACTTTCCAAGTTGCGGGGGAGGATACCGGGGATCAAACTCAGGTCCTTGTGCTTGCAAGGCAGGTGGCGTACTCCAAAATTTTTATGGAGCTAGAAACAAGATTATATCTGTGAAAATGACCAGGAACTCCCTGGAGAGATAGTTGACTACAAAACTGGGGCAAGGGAAGTCCAAAGTGAAATCTTATTGTGTTGGAAAGCAAAGCAAAGAAAGGTACAGAAACTGATGGAGATACAGAAAGAAAGACATTTGAAAAAGCTTAAGTCTGAGCTAATTTGAACATAAAAATGACAGAAATGGATATAACCCACTAAATCAAAAAATCCACGAGCCAACACTGATAGTACAAAAAAATAAAAAGAAGGGAAAGGTAGAGGAAAAGCTCTTATTTACAGGAGAATGCCATCTAAGAAATACAGAAATGAAAGAAATGGGAAAATGTCTACTTCAAAACCACAGTGATAATAATAGATTCAAGTAAGATCATCATGGGATGCTAAAGCCACTGGGTAAAAGACTTGACACAAGATGCACAGAAATCCAACAGATGCCACCTGAAAGAATACACTAAACATCATCAGTGATGGGAAGAGGCCTACATCAGATGTCTCCTGATATGACACACAGAGAAGGACTCAATACTAGTTCTTCTCCTGCCTAAGTGCAAGATGAATCTTAATCATGAGACCAGCCCAAGTTAAAGGACATTGAGCCAAACAAGTGGCCTAGGCTCTTCAAAAATGTTAATGTTGGGCTGGGGATTTAGCTTAGTAGCGCCGTGCCTGCCTCACAAGTGCAAGGTCCTGAGTTTGATCCCCCCTGCAAAAAATAGTCAATGTTGGGGAAGATTTAAAACAAAATTTCCAAAAACTGGAGAATATTCAATATTAAATAAGATTGGCCAAATGTGGCCAAATCCAGCATACAATCCTGCAACAGATCTGAGAGAAAGAAAAACAAAAACATTCAAAGTCAAAAATAAATATAAAAGCATCTACATGTATCTGCATGCCATGTACATGTACACGCACACACAAACACACACACCCAAGTGAGCAAATGGGGCAAAATGTTAAATTGAATCTAAGTGAAAACGACCATAGTGTTCTTCTTGTAATTTTTCCATAGGTTTGAAATGCTTTAAAAGAAAACAAACAGGAAAGGTCCTATCAGTCATTGGAAAGTTACCAGAACTGCCACATCTGAGCCCCTGACATCTGTGGCTGACTCACATACACTCACCTGTCAGGTATTCCAGGACAGCAGCCATGTACACAGGTGCCCCGACTCCAATCCTGTACTTGGGGTGGCCTTTCTTGATGTACCTCAGCATCCGCCCCACAGGGAAGATGACTCCTGCCTTGGCAGACCGGGAAGTCTTGGTGGACTTCTTCTTCCCACCACGGCTCGACATGTTGGTGGCCCTAGAAGCAGATCAGTGAGCACACTGTAAAGACAAGAAACACACTCGTCAGGATTACTGAGGACAGTGCATCCCTTCTCTAGTACACGCATGTCCCCTAACAGGACAAGTCCAGCCAGCAGATACTACTATGTGTAGCTGCTGAGCCTTTGAGCCCAGTTATACACTCCACTGCAAAGGAAAAGAAAGGTGTGGCTTTGAAAATTTTATATCATGACATCAATTTTATTGGCCACTTCCACTTAGATGTTAAAACTGACAATGACTGCTCCCAAGCGTCCTGTATGCCTCATGATGTAAAAGAGAATAGGATTTCTTGGTTATGTTCTACCCACTTGTTCAATAATTGCATTTTCATATACTTGAAACTGAGGTTAATTTTACAGGAAAAAAATAAAAGAAAATTACATTGCTTGTAAAACCACATACCTTCTGATAGAAAGCAATGTCTCTACTTTACACCCCTGATCTTTGAAAGGCATAAGCAGCATGCAGGAATTAAAGTTGTGTGTAGTAAGGTTAGAAGAGGCCCTCTGAGCACAATCAGCCTGCCGAGTGGGCCTGTCTTTAGAGAAGGGAAGGGGCTTTTCCCTTCCTGATCCTCCCTCATCCTATCCTGACAGCCCAAGTCCAGAGGATGCCCTCTTCAACCTCTCCACATGACTGGGTCCAGCTAATCAGTATCTAAACCAAGTGGTCACAGGTATTTCCTGAAAAGATCGTCTCCCCTTGCCTCACTCTTGTTACTGCTTGTGTCTAGATGTGCCCCCACAGCCTCATGCAGTCATAGGTGGGGATTTTTCAGAGGTGACTGGATCTACAGGGTGGCACTGTGATTGATTCATGGTGCAGTGCTAGGTTAAAGCATACTAGGATTAAGGGTGAGTGCTACCTGCCCTAAAGAGTCTGGATAAAAGGGGCAGAAAGATGCTGTCAAGGCCCCTTGTTGCTTTTGCTACCTTGTGGGCACCCATGAACTGTTCTTTTCTGCCAAGCTACCCTGCCTTGGAACCAGCCAATTATGGATTGAAATCTCTACAAACTGAGCTAAATAAATAAGCCCCACCCCCTTTAACTTTGGTGTCAGCAAAACTTTGTCTCAGCAATGAGAGAAAAGTAACTAAGACACTCCTGACGTACACCTTCTACCATTTTGGCAGGGCAATCTTTGTGCATATACTTGGGAATATGCTCTGGCACCAGCCCCAAAAGCTCTCCAGGGCTGACACAAGTCCCAAGATAAAATCAGGACCCTTGACCACCATCCCGTGCCTCAGAAATCTAGGTCTGGCACACATCCCAACTTTGCCTTGTGCTACTGTGGACTAAAATTGGACACAGGGCTGAAGGGGTTTGCCCCCAGATGCGCTTCTACTCCTTTTCTCCTTGTCTTTGTAGTGACTGTTCCCTTTTGCCAGAACATCCTTTATCCTTCACACTTGTTCTCTGCCCTCTGCCACTCCATCTGAGTCCTTGAGTACTGCTGCTACATCCTTACAGCACATCCTTCAGGCACTATACTAAGCAGATGTGGGCCCTGCCCTCGTGAACTAGAGATACATAACCCTGTAGTCATTCAAATGATAATCAGAATGAGTGCTTCAAAGAGCCAGTACACAGTGGTGGGAGAGAGATGTGAGGGGCCTCAGCCTATTCTGAAGTCCACTTCGATGCCTTCACTTTGGAATATCTATGCTTAGATCACTGAACAAATGCAAAGATTCCTCTACACTGGGATCAGAATCCATATGTGTGGGTTCCTTCAGTCCCAACAGGTCAAGTCTCTATGACTGGAAGCCACAGGACTAAGAAACCTTGTTACACTGACATTAAACTTCATACTTAGGATCATGGTCCACACAACATTTCCACAAGTCCAGTAACATCCTAAGCCATCTTTCTGAGACAAAGATAGCTGTGAGGGCAGCAGGCAGTAGAATTCTTGAGTACTGTGGGGCAGCTGCGCCATCACATTTCACAGGACTAAGATGGTTGAAGCTCCTGTGATGAGAGCCCTGAGTGATGCCCTATTGGGGTACCAAATTTTAAGGTCTCAGAGTGCTGTAGAGAGACCCAGAAGGGTTGGAGCTTTTCTGAAACAACTAGTTGCCTCCATTTCTCATGGTACTGTGCTGTTTTAAGACATCCCCAGCAAACAAATGCCTGTGTTCACTCCAAGCAGGTAATGGTCTGCAGGTATGGGTGCCTGATTTTCAGGGGGAACTCTCACTGGTTTCCTGAAGTCTTTGGCTTTACTACAAAAGGGTTTCACAGATCAACAGCCCAACACCTTTGGATTAAGAGGTTTTAATCCAAGTCTCTCCTCTTTCAGAGTGGGAAGCCTGTGGTCAGAGATGATGACTAAATTCAGACCCTTCCTAAATGGAGTAGACTTCAACTCTGTTCCCCAGCAGATCTGCTGAGTGTCTGGGGCTGCCTCTGCAGGAAGTGGACAGTGTGCTCCTCCAGAGAGGCCATTAGTATGGTGACCTAGCAGGGTCATGCTCCTGTGTTTCCCTTCTCTGACTGTAGCCAAGAGGCTCCATGCAAACATGCTAGTGACTCTGGTCTCTACATAAGTGCATATACTTGGCTGTTGGGCCCTAGAGCTGTGTTCTGACTGCCTGTCAGTCCCATAGACATCTTGAAAGCCTCTAGCTTTTCTGACAGTGGCAACATCATGCATGATACAACTCTAGCAGGAGTCAGCCTGGCCCCTACTTCCCTGCTGCTCCACAGCATCCAAGTGTCAGCCAAGCTCTGCCAAGCCCATCTGCAAATTACCTCCTCACGTCTCACCCCATCCTTGACTTGCTTCAGCCTCATCTCTCACCGTTTTACTCATTACCAGGCTTTCTCCACAATCTCTTCCTATTCTGATGGCTCCCATTACCCTGAGCTTGGAGCCAGCCAGAAAAAGCAAACTTCAACTAGTTCTGGAATATTATTTCTTAGCACTCCTGCCAGGGTTCAGATACCCCAGGCTATCCCTGAGTTTCTAAGCCTATCATGCCGTGTCAAGGGTATCTATGAATGTCCTGTTTCTCCTGCCAGGAAGGCCCTTTGTTTGTCCTCTTATTAACCTATCCAACAGATGCACTCACATGCCCCCTGCCTCAGAAGGCAGGCTTCTTGGCCCTTGCCACAGCCTGAATTGCCAACTGCTCCATTTTGCCATAACACATATGCCAGCATGTCTGTGTGCCTACCTCCCCAGCTCTACTGAATCAAGCAGCTGGATACAAGCCACTGAAATTAACCAACCCATTCTCTGAGTGCTAGGAAAGGTTTCATGGGTAGTGATGGATCCTCCACTGCACCCTTCTGGCAGAAGAACACCTTTTATGTCTCATCTGGAGTTGGGCTCCTCTCCAATGTAACAGCCCCTAGTCTTTGTCGCTGCTAGGTGGCTGTCTTATAGATGCCTTTCTTACTCTTTCCCATGTTCTTTCTGTATTTTCTAACTATAGTTCACCAAGCAATGAGAGAACTGTGACTACGCCTTGCAGCACCATGACATTCAGCAGCATGTGGTGGTTTTTAAACATCCTCTGGAAAATCACTTCATAACTGGGCAGGCAGAGAAACCAGTGAGTGTGTCAGGTCTGTTCGCTCTTTAAAAGTCTCTGCAGGCATAGGCAGCTGTGGCCCAGAATCAATGTGGGGACAGGAAGTGGTATGAGGGAAGTGGTTGTTGAGCACCATGATCAATAACCACAAGTCCAAAGCCAGAGTGACTTGACCCTAATCATGGCTTTACCACTTACTGGCACTATGGTGCCCTGGCAGTGATTTAACCCTTCAGAATCTTTTTTCTGTGTCAGACACAGAAGATAATTGAAAAGACCTCAAAAGGTTGGTGGAAGTATTAATTAGACTGTGTTAGGGCCTGACAATAAGGGAGTGCTCAGGAGTTAATAAAAACACCAACAGTTTTTATAAGATGAAAAAAAAAAACCCTCCCTGGCAGAATAGGTCTTGGATTATTTGTACTGGTGAAGGTATTACTAGAGTACTGTAACATGTAAGTGCCTAAACTCATTTCTCACTCACAAAAAGTCCTGCTATGTTTGGATGTGGTTTGTTCCCTGAAGGTCCCTGTGTTGAAAGCTTGGTCCCAGTGTGATGATGTTAAGAAATGATAGGACCCTTAACAGGTGAGGCCTAGTGGGAAGTTATTACTGGTCCCTCCCTTGAATTGCTCTCTGGCTTCCTAGCTCACAATGTGATTTTTCCTGTTCCCCTGTGCTCCAATCACTGTGATACCATCTGCCATGAAGTGCTCACCAGAGCTAAACTGGCTGTGGCATTACATCCTTGAACTGCCAGAACTCCAAGTTAAATAAATTTCTTTTTTTTGTAAAATTATCTAGTCTTAGGTATTCATTATAGCAACAGAAAATGGACTAATACAAGTCCAAGACAGTTTCCCATGATTGGCTCATGAATCTCTTCCACATAATGATTTCTGGGTCCTACTACTGACCCTGATCCATCACCTAGAACTTGGTCACATGGCCACATCTAATTATGACAGATTTGAGAAATGCACACTATTTACTCAGAAAAAAAGAAAAGAGAAATCAGCTCATCTGTCACATGATTAAGTCCATTTGAAAGCTGACCTTGAAGCCATGGTCTTAGTGACCAGCCAAATCTAGCTGGGATGTCTGACCCTGCAGGTAAGCCTGAAATGGGGATTGACAATCCTACATCCTAGACAAAGTGACTTTCTTCAGGGAAGTGACAACACTCACAGAACAGCTACACTATCTGGTCAAAGTGACAAAGATGTATCCTTCTTTGCTGAACTTGTGCAGGAGGCAACTCCTCCAAGTCAACCAAGAGTCCCTAACCTGGTAAAGCCAGTTACCATTGTGCAGTAACCTGGTGCCCCTTTCTGTCATCAGCCTAGGAAAGAACACCCCTGGCTGATACGGAAGAGATATCTGTCATTGTCTCTGCTACAGTTGGGACATAGCTTGAGTGTCTCCAAAGATTTCATATGCTGAAATTTAATCCCT